CCGAGGCTGCAGGAGCACTAGGGGACTGCAGTGCTGGAGAGGAAAGTCAGGTGCACATCAGGATCGAAGAGGAAAGAAAGGGTGAGAAAGAGCTGCTCAAACAGAAGGAGCAGACAATGGTCAAGACTTTTCTCTAAGGTCTCACCTCACCCAGAAGAAAATGGCAACAGACTTCAGAGACTGGTATGATGCCCAGGAGCGGAAAAGGCTGGGCTCACAGAGATGGGGAAGAGATGGGTTGATGATACATGGTTTAAGAACTAAACACCATTAACATTCCTGCTAGTCCTCTGGGTAAAGTTGGGGTGGAGGTGAGGGCTCACTCTGTCAATCAACAAATGTTTATTGCACTCAGTCCTGGTTTCTAATCTCTGTTTCATTACATACTAGTCACGTGTCCTTGGGCAGGTCACTTATTTCTTTAAGCCTCAGTTTCCTCATCTGTAAAATGTGCTTAAGAACCCAGAACAGTTGATATGAAGATTACATGAGACAGTGGTGTAAGGGCATTGCCCCTCCCATGCCAGCTGTGTGTTTGTGGTTCAATTAAAAACTGTGTTTAGTTCTGAGCCTTCCTCCCCTTTCGGCCCAGGACTCTCTATAATGAAGGGAGACAGATACAAACAAGGGAGACAGCCAGTGAGAATGTGGTCATTGTTAAAACTATAGCAACCCTGTCACAGGAACCTAGACGAGGAGTAATTAGTTCTGCCTGCAGAGGTCAGGGAGGGCTTCCCTGAGGAGGGGACATTTGAGCCTGTCCATTAAGTGACTTGCCTGGCAGAGAAGAAATAGGAAGGCGCCACAGCAGGGGAGTGCCTGGAGCAAGAGAAGGGAGGTACACAGGGCAGTGAGGGTCTGGGGAGGACCGCCAGCCTGCAGCCTAGCAGCGAGGTGGGCAGCAGGCTGGGGGGTTTGTGGGTCAGCCTGGGAAGAGCCTGGAACACTGTGCAACCGTGTGAGAATGCAGGTGTGATCTCCAAGCCTTTGTCAGCAAGGCTGACATGCTCAGGTGACAAGGCTCTATTGGGACAGAGGACAGAGGGAAGGAGGCCAGAGCAGGTTCCAGGACACCAGCAGGAGGCTGCAGCTGAGACCAGGCTCCATCCCCTGCGGCCACACTTCAGTTCTGTGTTCCAGGGAGGCAGTGTTTAGGGAGAGCCAGGGTCCCTCTGCAGCTGTGAGTTGTCACTGGTACCCACAGCATGCAGCTGTTGCCACTGCCACTCAGTGTTCTCTGTCACACACAGAGGTCCTCTCATTTGTCACTGTTTATTTTTTGTCATTTTAAAACTTTTTACTCTTACTAGTACAGGTGTGCAGTACATAATGATTACATCCCTCGTGGGGAGTTGGTACATGTACTCAGCGCTCTTGATTCTTTTTCATCCCTTTTCCCTCCTTGTTCTCCCATTTTCCTCCCCTCTTCCTCCACATCTTAGTCCCCTTTACTTTTGCAGAAGATCTAAGGCAGAGGTCCCCTCATGCACAAAGTCCCAAGATGCTGAGGTCCAAAGAGTCTCACATACGATTTTTGAGTTCTCTGTGAGCCTCACACTGGTTTGGGGGCCAAGAGGAAAGCAGGCGCAATATCTGTAATAGAGTAAAAAGACAAGACTCTACCTGTTAAGTTGATTTTCCTTTTCAAAAAGAGGGCGCTTGCTGATGAAGAGTGATAAGTGTCTTTCACTGGTGAGGAAAGGATTTTAATAACGTCTGCTGATGACTCTTGTCCTGCTCTGCCGAGATACAGCCGCTCATTCTTTTCCCTTTAATAACCTGGCGTGACTGGACTGGGGAGAAGACACGGGCTCCTTCTCACTCACAGAGGCTCTGCTGCCTCTCCACTCAGCCTGGATCCTCTCCGGTGTCTCCATCCCCCCTTCCCTGCCGCCACATTCCTGGATTCACTGCCACTATCCTTTTCTTTTCTCCCTTCTTTCTGAGGCTGTGAGGGACTTTATTAATAAGAAACGTGGTCCAACAAGATGGATGAGCTGGCCAGCAGAAGGATGAGCTCCCTGTCACCTGCAGTGTGACAGAGGCAGGAGATCCTGCCAAGGAGATTCCTCTTAGCAGATAAAATGTGGTTCCCAGACTTCAGTTTGCATTAGAATCACCCTTGGAGCTTAGGAAATGCAGGTTTCCCAAGTGCTGGCCTGAGCTTCTCACTGGATCCACACAGAACCCAGAGAATCTCTGTCCTCACGAGCTGCTTGGAGGATACAAGCAGGAGGTCATGAGCTGCTCTGAGAAACTCGGGAATGAGATACAACAAATTATCACCCCAGGCTCTCTTACTAAACCCACCCAACAGTCTTTCCTCAAACTCCACTGTTTTTCTACAATCCACATGTGTAAGTCCAGAGACATTTTGGTGGTTTGAATACTTTGATGTCATGCTGTGTAAAAGTTGGTTTTGGGATAACAGAAGCTAACAGTTACTGAGCACATGTATATCAGAACCCCAGATAAACATTTTACACAGCTCTCTTATCATCCCTGATGATGCTGAGGCTGGTTTTACTGCTCCCTTTGCTGCCCTTATGTGACAGACCCAGGGACTTGAGGTAGGTGCAGTGATTGGAGTTGAGATCTGAGCTACCAGTCAGCTCAACCCACCTGCCTGCTCCTGAGTAACTACTGCTCTTCATCTCCTCACAAACTGCCCAGGTTATCTCTGCTGTTATGGTCTCAGGTCGTGTCATGCAGAGTCGATTTGGTACTTTTCCAACACCAAACCCTGAAGAAGGCCCCATGACAATTTCTCTAGGTCTATCCCTGGTGCATTCATACCAGCCCAACTCCCACCACTGTTTCATGCCTGGAGAGTTTTCTTCTTGGATCTCTGGCCTTCCTCCACTTCTCTGGGACATACACTGTCAGCCACTGCTTCTCTCCTGCACCCCACTGCACAGCCATGCACCCCACATGAGCTCCTCATTGACTCATCTGCCCTCTTCCCCACCCAGCCTGCTGCCTTCCTGCAGGTCTACAGACTACTCTTTCTAGTCACTCAGCTTCCCCAGCCAATCCTCTATTTCTTTAACAGCTCACATCTATGCCCTTTGCCTCCACAGAGCCTTCAGTGGCCAAGCCTACCCTTTCTCTACTTCTAATTCCCTGATGCTTTATGTACGTGGTTGGCATCACTTTCTCTCACACTTATTTATTTGTTGTTTAAAACTTATACTAAGGTTGTTTCAAGTCTGTATGTTTTTCTCTCTCCAGTCAGATGGTATAAGTATTTTAGAACAATAAGCAGACCTTTATGTTCTTTAGTGCCTATACCCCCAGAATACAAAGAGTGGCTGTAGTAGCTTAACACAGAATTGAAACAATTCCTGAATGACCATCCATTTAATTACAATGAATGACTCCCAAGTCCAAAATCAGTGGAGTGTGTGCTCTGTGGATGGAGATGATCATATGATATAATGGGAACAATGAACTCAGAAATAGCCCCCTTAAAAGTTGACACTTGTTTTATAATCCTGCATTTTCTAAAGCCCACTTATGTGATCCCAGGCAAGTCGTTCCATTTCTCTGCCCTGAGGAGTCAAGCCCAGGTTGCTGTAAGACTCTAGCTTTTCACGTTCTATGACCCGTGCTAAACCATCCTTTTTCCTGACCACAGGAGAAAGGTCACACCTGTCTTTAGGCCTCACTTTGCTTACATGTGAAATGGAAATTTCAGTAACAGTAGCTAATTTATAGAGTTGTTGCAAGGATTAAATGCAATGATTCAGAAAGCTCTTAGCCTAGAGAATGGCCCATAGAAAGTGATCGATAAATGGTAGCTATTATTAAGTTACTTGGCCAAGATTAGGAGTATTGAGCGTGCCCAAGGGAAAGAAGAAGACCATTCCCCTGCATCTGATCCAAGTGGAAAGCTTGAAAATGAACAAAGCCTTTTGATCTCAGAAGATGTCAAGCTGGAACCCTGCTGCTAGGACCTTACCTGGCAGCCTTGCAGTGGCCAGAGCATCACTGTACCAGCACTGCAAGCAGTTGGGGTGACCCTGTTGTACTGTCCAATCGATTTTCCCATTACCCTTTAATGCTGTGTATTAAAGGCTTTGCAGATCCACTCTGTTACCTTCTTTCTTTATTACCTCCAAGACCTACTCAACTACTTGGGAGAATTAAATTGCTTAGATGCAGGAAACCTCTTGAAATGGTAAACACCCTCTTCTTGGGCAGAATTTGGAGTCCAGGAGCTTTGGCTTGCTCCTGGCTTGCTCTTCAGATCATGCACACACTGACAAGGGAAACAGAGAGTAAGCCTCTGAGCTGAGTTCACAGCACACTGCTGGCTGGAGGAGGAGATGCCAGCGCAGCCAGGTCCTCACCCTCTGTCAGGTGGCTCTCCTGGCCTTACTTGGTCTCAGTCCTCTTCCAGTGAGAAACTATCTTGGCTTGATCCTCCTTTCCTACATTTCAAATCTTGCTTTCTGTTTGTCCCATCTGTCTATGTCCGGATCTCAAAGTCCACCCTCTGGACCTGCCTTTCGGTTGTTCTCTTCATTCATTAATTTCATCTAATATTATTTTATATCCTAACATACAGCTTCACCAAACAGCCTTATCTGAAACTTAAGTTAGCCTTGTTTTTCTTATTTCTAAAATGTGATTATGAGTCCTTCCATCAAGCCTAGGGGGAAATTAAGTCCATATGGTTCTCTGAGAAATAAAAACCAGGGGAACAAACACTGCTGTTTGTTTGAGGTATGACCAAAGATAATGAGGTTGATATTTCATACTATAATTCATCTATGCAAATTAATTGTCTCCCATTCAACTTGGAAAACAAAGCACAAATGTAAAGATGTCCCTGCAACCCCTTCTCAGCGGGCATCCTCATCAGGAAATCTCCCTTCTCAGATGGTGGATATGTTTTGGAAATGGTCAATCAGACTTAAGTGTAAACAAAGTAAGTGATCAAGCAAAAGAATCTCTCTCCTTTAATGACATAAAGTAAGGAGATGACTTTACTGCTACATTGCTGCTAAGGATTATCTCACTGAAAAGTTCTAAATTGTTGCTCTAAAGATGACTGCTTTGCATTTACATGATTAAGCCTTAACTTACTTATATATTAAGCAGGAGTTTGTTGGTAGTAGGTGACAGAAACTCAACTCAAATTGGCTTAAGGGGAAAACTAAATTATTGGCTCAGTTAGATCTATATTTAGATTTCATAGTTACATCTTCTTTCAGACACGGCTGGATCCAGGGGTTGAACTACTGTGATCAGGACCTGGCTTGTCTTGATCTTGAGGCAAAATTCTTGTGCTTTCTTTTCACTTCCAAACATGAACATGGTGACCTCCAGCAGCTGAATCTTCAAATCCTGTAGAAAGAGAGCTTCATTTTCATACCAATTTCAACAAAAGACCAGGTTGGAACCTCATTGGCCTGCCTGATGATCCTCCCTAACCAATCACTATGGTCGGGTATACAGAATTTCTTGAACCATTTTTGCATTCATGACCCCCATATGAACAAAGTGGTGGCTGTATGGTGGAAAGATACAGTTCTGTACCAGAGGAGGGGCAAATGTGTAGTTACAGGTAAAGAATAGCAGATATTCACTTAAAAAAGCAGAAAGGGTTTTATAGTTGCTACATTAATGTCATAGAAGATTTTCTTTTAAAATTTTACTTTATTTTTATATTATAGTTCATAAAATCAATAGAAATGTAGATGTCTCTAAAAAGTAATCTATAACTTGGGCAAAAAATTTTTAAAAGAAAAAAATTACTGCTTCATTGCCTTTTCATTGTGTCTTTTTGTGTCCTTCCCCTGAATTGTAGGGCATTTGTCTGGAGAGGTTTTCCGGAAGTTCTAACCAATTTGGCATGGATGTTTTCTCATTTGTTTTCCCTTTTACACAATATCTAACTGGCATATTGGACAACACTGTATGGTTATGAAACAGAATAATGGTTTTCAAACCAATTTTGGAAGCAGAACTTTTTTCAAATGTCATTCATACCTCAACCTAACAAACAGAAGAAAGCACAGCTGCTCTGGTTGATGGGGCTAGGAACTCTAAATCCCACCTACTAAGCTTTGTCCTTCCCTTATCCTTCTCTTCTTCCCCCTCAGCCTCTGATTCGTGACCGCAGAATCCTGTGGCTCCAGGAAATGCAATTTGCAAACCGCCGTAATATAGCAATGTGACTGACTCTTTAGAATCGGTGCTGTCAACTATCTGGGGCTGAAGCCCCACAGTTGGGAGAGGCACATAATGGACATTTATTGAGCACTCACTGTCAGGTGCTATACCTTCAATATCCCACTTAACCTCTGTGACAACCCCATGAGGTAGCAATTATTTATTACCCTTCTTTACAGATGAAAATATTGAGACTTGGAATGTCACCTAGCTGGCAGGACTCAGAGCTGGTGTTAACGTGAGGTCTTTCTGATTCAGACAAACTCACCCTCCCTGAATATTCATGCACTGCCTATGGTGTGAAAGACCCTGACCTAGGTGCTTTGCTATGCACTGTGTATTTTATTTTATCCCTACACACTTGTGAAGAAAGGAGTCCGGACACCAAGGAGAATATATTATATGCTTCTATATGAATTTCAATATCCATCCTAATTAATCTACGGTGATAGAAGTAGCAGTAACCCTTCATGCCTGGGGTTGTTGTAAATGGAGGCACTGAATGAGAAGATCCTGAAGGAGCGCTATCCTGTGTCGGCCATGTTCTCTTCTAGTCTGGGTGGTGGTTATGTAGGTGTACACATATATAAAAGTCATGGCGCTTTTAGGATTTATGTGGTGTATTATACCATTACCTCTGTTTCTATTTTAAGCCATCCTACATTTTAAACATTATCATTGTAAATATGAAGAAATTATGGTTCAAGAAAGTAGCTAGCCTACTATAATTCTGTCAGGACTGGAACCTTCCAAGGATTGTATGACAGTCCTGACAGCTAGGCCCACCCAGGGCATATTCACTGACCATGGGTGGGGTCAGCAGCATGCAGAAATTGTCAGCTAGAGAGAATGTGTTGCTCTTGGTGGCGGTTAGCCACTTCGGATACTCAGGACCATGTCTTACCCCTGTGTGCCTGCCCCTTGCCCTGCCGTACCTGTACCCTTCTGCTCTATTCTTCAGGTTTGGTCTAATGGCTCCTTAACTCTCTCCAGTGCTTCTTGTTGGTCTGATGGCTTCAAAGTCCTTCCTAGGAATGAGGGCAGAACACAAGGCAAGATGTGGGTTCCCAACCAGGAAAGGCACAACAAGAAAGAATGAATCATTGAGAGAAGAGAAGCCAGGCCTTCCCAAATGCAGCCAAACTGCTCTGTCCCCTGCCAGAGGGCCTGCCCCTTGGGCAGAGAGCCCCCTGGGGCAGTCCCCATGTTCCCCAGGGAACTCTTCAGAGATCACTCTCTCTATTCAGATTTTGCCTAGGTCCTTTGCCTTTTTCCTTACATTATAAATGCAGCTTCTATTTTTAGGTCCCATTGTAAGGGAGACCCTGGGACTCAGGCCAGGGAGCCAAGGAGCTGGGGAACCATAGTCCCAGGGGCTGGATCATCAGCATAGCTGAGTGGATAAAATGACAGCGGCCTTGGCATTAGTTAGGTATAAACCTAAGTCCGGTGATAGATCACGGGAGGCCTGAGCAAGCCTCTGGATCCACAGATATTCAGGCACAGGGTTAAGGTCATTTTCAGAATGCCAGGCTGGTCTCCTTTCACCTTTTCCCTTCTGATCTGTCCCCATGAAACCCTGGAAGCACTCAACCCAAACCCAAGCTGGCTGTTACACTTAACACACTCCAATGCCTCTTCTTCTACCTAGAGGCAAAGGGAAACCATCTCAGATTTTAAACAAGAAAACCAACGCACTAATAGAGTTGGCATTTTAGACTCAGCTTGAAGGATGAGGCAGATTGTAGTAGTGAGCCTTCTGAGAAAACTCCTGAGACATGAACACAGAATGATGAACCAGCACACATTCCCACTGTCAGGTATTTAGGCCCTCATAACTAGGCATGATTTTTGAACAAAAAATAACCTGGCCATGGTATTTTAAAAGTTTATTCTATGCAGAATAATCCAGAGAGGTAAGAGGGCTCAGAGCAGCAAGATTTATTCATTCAACAAGTGTTTATTGAGCATCTACTATGTGCCACACACTGTGCGTAGTTTCCTCAATGACAAAGATATAAATCTTGGACTTCTAAACTTTATCATCCAGAAAATTATCAAGGAGACAAGTGACATGCATGAGGCATGTAACATATGACAGGGGTATTAATCAGGGTATTAATCGTGTCCAGTCTGAGGGGAGGTTAGAGCCTGAGGGCAAGTGTAAAAGCCCAGTTAGTTTTAAAGACCATTCTGGCTTCAGGAGAATGGGTAGGGTGGGAATAACAAGCACATAGGGTGGCCATTTAGGAGGTTGTGGCTATGCCAGGGAAAGATGATGGAGGCCTAAGCCCAGCTGCAGCCGGGATGGAAAGCAGCTGGATTCTAGAACTCTGGTAGAAACAGAATCTACAGAACTTGGTAGGAGTCAGGGAGGACTCCAGGACTCCGGGGAGGACCCCAGGTTAGAGGTCACTGAAATAGAAGAATGAAAGTCTCCTTCTCCTTAGTGGCTCTGGAACACCCAATCATGCGTCTCCAGCTTTCCTACCTTAACTGAATCACAAACAACCTGAAACTAAATACCAGGTCTCGCTCTGCCCTGACAGCACCTCCCAGGACCTTTCAGGTCAAAGATGCTCAACAAAGAGCTGCTGGAATGAATGAGTGATAACAGAAGGAAACATTTGAACTGATCTCAGTTGTGGCCAGATCCAGCTTTACATCCCCCTCAGCCCTCCTTCTGCCTCTGCCCAGTGCCCTAGTGACAGGCAGAGGCTGGGGGCTAAGGACAGAAGTGGCTTGTGGGCACGGTGCCACCTGGAATACTTAAAACATGAATTGCGAATCAAGTGGCCCCTCTCACAGCTAATCGATGGCAGCATATCCTGATCGCTTTCATTATTATTATTTTCTTATGCATGTGTGATCGGGAGATTTATTGTTGAGGCTACAGAGGCAAAATCAATTATTCATGTTATAAATTAGAAAATGATTTATGTCTACAGGAGATGGGGCCTCAGCGAACGGAGCCCATTACAGATAAGCTTTGCTGAAAGGGCCAAGATTTATCTGTAAACTTCACAAATTGCAGCTCACCAATCCGGTCCCGTTCCCAGCCCCTCCCCCCAGGATACCCATCCCTCTTCCTGAATCATTCTGTCTTTTTCTGTCGTCTACTATCTCCTTGACTCCTGTTCTTCACCACCATTCCCAGTGATTTCTCCTTGTTCTTCTGTCCTGTTGTTCACCTCTGACAAATGCCCGATGGTTATACATGTCTCTTTTGAGGCAGGCACTCTTGAAGTTTCTAAATAAACTCTGTGGTCTCAGGGTATATAGGTTGCTTCGTACAGAAAAGAGTGAGGTTATGGACTGGGAAGGAATTAATCCAGGTCCATTTTTTCCGTGGCCCATTGGGAGGAGAAGGACTGAATCATGTTTCTCAGAGCAGCTGACGCTTCCCTGGGTAAGAGGCAACCATTACTTAGCATCTGTAAGCTGCCACTTCTCCAGAGCTTGTCCTAGAGAACACACTTAGGAGAAGCAGTGTGATGATGTGGAGACTCCAGAGGCTTCGGAGTTAGTGGAGAGGGGTTGAATCCTAGCTGTGGGCCTCGGGCAAGTCACTCATACTCTCCGGATCTTAGTTTCTGCATCTGCACAATGGGTTTTCCAGTGCAAGTTCTTTCTCACAGGAGTGAAAAGGATCGAAAAAATGGTAAGAATGTCTGCCCCGGTGCTGTGTTTGGCACAGAATGAGCGCCCCAAGGTGTTATTTCATCTGGTGTACAAGAGATTGCAGACAGAAAATCCCTTTCCACCCCTCTCGCTCTTCTGCTCTGTAGAACATCAGAGCTCTCCTGGGCTTCAAAAGAAGACTTGAGCTAAGATCCCAAGAATAAAGGAGGAGTACGTCCTGTTGAGAAATTCTCCCAGTGATGTGTCCAGGGAAATGGGAAAAGGGTACCACAAAGGAGTGGGAAAGCCAGAGCCACAAACTGTTCCGTCTTTTGGGTTTGTGACCAGTGCACCTCAGTTAACTTTCAAATCCCAATTTCCCCTCCTGTTAAATGAGGATCATAATACTTGTTCTGTTTTATCCACAAGTGGTTATATCAAAATGAGAGGAGGGAAATCTTAATGATAATGGCATCTTATAGCAGTTCTTATTGGATGATGTTATAGGAGAAAACTGTCAGAAAGAAAGAAAGAAAGAAAGATTGGGAGAGAGATGTACACAGAGAGAAGGAGGCAGACAGAGATGGAGATTGGGAAAGAGAGAGCTTTTGGTCAGTGGAAAACAGCACAAGTTCGCTTAAGGCAAATCAGTCCCTTAAATAATTGAGTGAATGCTGCTATAATGCCCCTAAATAGCCCCCAAATCCTGTGGGGATTCTTGACACTTCCCAGAGTCTGTAGTGGCACTGCCAGTCACCGGTTTCCGAGCCCCCGCCCCACTAACTCACGGATCCAAGGTTCATTTGATGGCCCCATCACTCTCTTTCCTGGCTCTATGGCATGACAGGAAACGCTGATCGCAAAGACCTGTATGGAGGCCGGCTATGTATTAGGAATAAAGATGCTAGTAAGTAGACCAAGTGCAAAGGACAGAGTCAGTGAAGAGAGAGACATGCTACTCTACAAACTGCAAACTTCAAGTAGATCCTACGGTGAATAAGCAGAGGAAGTTATGAGTTCTGGGCTGTGGACTGGGGAGTATCTGCTGATCTCCTCCTTAAAGGGACAATACTGAAAGATAGAGGTCCCTCTAACCCCAGATGACTATGGGAGACCAGATTCCAGGGTGTCTGAGTTCCGTAAAGTTCTCTCAGAACTGCCCAGAGCCCTGTACCCTTTGCCATTTCCACAGAACCCTTCCCCAGTGGATCCTGAGGCCTGAAAAGCCTGAAGTTTTCACATCTCCATATCCCACCACCACCATTGTTTTTTTCCTGGCGTCCTCATGCCTACTCTTTCAGCTGCTAGGAATCCTATCTGTCCCTGTCCCCATGAGACAGTCTCTTAAGCCCCCCTTCCCTGATTCAGGCAAAAGAAAGCCTCAAGTGCCTCTTGGATGAGTCTTCTGATGCCTGTCTTACTGTTGACCAAGAAGAGTTCAAAATAACCTAGGTCATCAATAGTCTCACTAGGAAAAACCACTAAATTCAACTTTAATTCTTTCATTTGATTCCCCCAAAGACTAGAATGTTAGCTATTTCCTTCAGAAATTCCACCTTAAACCCCAGATTAGATGATTCACTTCCTGTCTGAAAATTCCACTGGCTTCCCGTTGGCCAGGCCTATGAAGAGATTCAAGACCATTAACACAGCAGAGAAGGCCCCACCCCCTCCATCTCTCCACAAACTAGCATAACTACTGGCTAGGTACTATTCCACTTTCATGACCCTCTCATATTCTTCACTTATCACAAGAACCTAGCTCAAGCACAGCCTTCAGACATTCCTGGGAGGGAGGACAGCTGTGTGTAGAGAGCCTCGGGCTTGAATCCTGACTTCGCTACTTAATAACTGTAAAATTTCTCCTAACACTTAACCTGTGGAGCCTCAGTGTCTCCTTCATATTTTAAACAGGTAGCACCATTCCCCTGCAAGGTGCCTATAGAGGTTACCTACTTGGGTGGCTAAGGAGACAGACAAAGACTTGAATCCAGGCATGGAGACGGAGCAGCATTTCAGAAAGTGATTGAGGCCTTGCCGGGGCCTACTAAGTATGCCCTGAAACAGGGTCTCAGCATGTGAAGAGGATGAAACACACAGAAGAGAAGAGGACTGTGAAAACACACCAGGAATGTCAGACAGATGCTGTACAGATGTTCCTCTCCGGATTATCAAGGAAGGGGGTTGGGGAGGGAAAAGGTAGCAGATCCAGTTGTGTAACAGGAGCCAGCAGCTGCCCCAGGACGCCAGCCTGCTTGGATGGGGTTGGAAGCTTCAGCTCCTGCTAGAGAGCAGAGTGCGTGTTGATGAACTAGCTTTGGCAACGCTTGGTTACCTTGTCCTGCCAATAAAGTCACCAGGATTGAAAAATTGAACCAGCTCCCTCCTTTGCCCTTGTCCTCGGCTG